TGTATACACGCAAGCAGAAAAGGAGTCCCTTACAAGCTAGGGATATGGTTCGGGTCCTGGGTCGCGAATTTTAACCGTACATGAGGCCCAAGGCCTCACATACGGGACAGTGGTCATAATGAGGACAACAACAGAGAAGCACAAAATTTATGACAGCGTCCAACACGCAGTAGTGGCAGTGTCCAGGCACACAGTATCCTGTGTATATTACACGGACGATTGCGACGATGCGACTGGACGGCTGATTGAAAGCGCGATGGCTGCGACAACAAACAGAATTAAAGAATACAACCTAAAAATGGCACTAAAAAGCAGAGACGCAGCTGTCGTAGAGGCCCTGAGAACGGCGAATTGATATAGCTGAAGACGGAGCGGTCTCCACGACGACGGAATAATAATAATTAAAAAAAATGTATATGGTAAGTTAAATAAAGCATGTTAGGAATTAGAACTCAAAACATAAACAAAAAAAAAAAAAAAAAAAAAGTAAAAGAAAAAAAAAAAAAAGACGCATGATATATAAAAAAAAAAATCTATATATATATAAAAAAAAAACAAACAAAAGGAAAAAATAAATAAATAAAAAAAAATTATAATAATAAAAAAAAAAAAAAACGTGAACTCACTGCTTAGGCTTAAGTAAATTTACTATACTAGTAGTGTAAGGAGTACGATGTAAAATAAAAAAGTTAATAAAGAAATATAAAGCGAAAAAAAGGTACGGACCTCGAGTCTGTAGTGTATACTTATTTATAATAAAAAAAAAAAAAAAAAAAAAACCTAACCTAACCTTTTTTTTTTTTTTTTTTTTTTCGTGGGGAAATCCTCATGGATACCTCCGGCTGCGGGGGCAACCGGAAGGTTATGCCGGACTCCTACCGGCTAAAACCCCACGGTGCCTCCTCGCACGTGCGCGTGGGGCCGCGGGAATCCAAATTCTTCCGCAGCCCCACACTAGTGCTGGCCCGGTCTGTCCGGGCCTCGTCTCCTGCTCGGGGTAGCGAGGTGTTCAGCTACCCCTCTCCACAGCCTCCAACTCCACCTGCGTATAGGACCCCCCCGAGTCCGATACGCGGAGGCCATGGGGCCCGGAAAATCGTGCGCTTAATAGCGCCCGCTTTCCCGACCCCAGCGGCGGATCTGGTCTCGGGCTCCGCCGCCAACCAAGTTTCGGCCGCGGAGGGTAGGGAGAGCGGCGCCTCGCAATACCGCCACTCCTCTCCCCCCGCGGCCCCACCACCACCGCATCAACGGTGCGGCCCCGTTTGAGTCGCGGAGGATAGGGCGAGTGGCGCATTGCCATACCAACACTCCTCTTCCTCCGCGACTCGACCTCGGCTGCAGCGGTAGAGGGTGCGGACTCCCCTCTCACCGCAGCCCACCAACACACATCCGAAGTGGGCTTCCCAAGCCCACTCGGAGTGGCCACCTCGGGCCGGCCCTACACCTCGGGCCAGCCAAGGGGTTCCTCTTCGTTCACCGTGGTTGACCAAGCCACGGCTACTAAGCCCCCCCGCCACGACAAGGCGGGAACCCGTTCGGGGGGGAACCTAACCTAACCTAACCTAACCTAACCTAACCTAACCTTTTTTTTTTTTTTTTTTTTTTTACGGGGGGAAATCCTCATGGACTACCTCCGCCTGGGGAAAGGCGGAGGGGCGTGCCGGACTCTTACCGGCTAAAACCACCCCGGTGTCTCCTCACACGTGCGCGTGGGGCCGCGGGAATCCAAATTCTTCCGCAGCCCCACACTAGTGCTGGCCCGGTCCGTCCAGGCCTCGTCTCCTGCACGGGGTAGTGAGATGTTAAACTACCCCGTGTATCGCCTCAGGGGCGCGCGCCGACACCCGCGCGCGCCTCCGCCTCGGGTCCATCGAGTAGGGGTGGCGGGGGCTTCCCCAAGTCCCTCGCCCCTGGACCCATTTATGGGGGGCGGAAAAGGGCGTTGTCCGCCCTTCTCCTGCGCCCGGTGCGCCTTCTGCGGCCGGGGAAGGGAGTCGAGATCTCCCTTTCCCGTTCCGCAGTTTCCTTCTGCGACATCACGTCCTCGCAGAAGGACACCACTGCATCCCACGACTCTGCGCTACCGACCATCTTGAACCTAACCTAACCTAACCTAACCTAACCTAACCTAACCTAACCTAACCTTTTTTTTTTTTTTTTTTTTTTTTACATGGGGAAATGCCTACGCATACCCGCCTCGCGGGGGCAAGGACGGGTTATGTCGGACTCGCACCGACTAAAACCCCATGGTGTTCCACCCTCGTCGCATATTGGCAGGGCCACGGGAACGCTTTCGCACACTTCCGCGGCCCCACCTGCGCCGGCCACCCCATGGCGGCCCCTCCTCGGGAGAGCACCACTCCTCCCCCATCTCCTTCTCCGGTAAGGCGCACCAGAACACATGGCGCGCCCTCCTCCTCGGCCTCCAATTTCATATGCGCAACAGACGCCCCCGTGTCCGATGCGCGAAGGCCATGGGGCCAGGAAAAACTAGCACTAAGAAGCACCAGCCTTCCCGACCCCAGCGGCGGATCTGGTTTATGGCTCCGCCGCCAACCAAGATTCGGCTGCGGAGGGTAGGGAGAGCGGCGCCTCGCAATACCGACACTCCTCTCCCCCCGCAGCCCCACCACCACCGCATCATTCAACGGTGCGGCCCCGTCTGAGTCGCGGAGGATAGGGCGAGTGGCGCATCGCCATACCAACACTCCTCTTCCTCCGCGACTCCACCTCGGCTGCAGCGGTAGAGGGTTGCGGACTCCCCTCTCACCACAGCCCCCCGACACACATCCGAAGTGGGCTTCCCAAGCCCACTCGGAGTGGCCACCTCGGGCCGGCCCTACACCTCGGGCCAGCCAAGGGGTTCCTCTTCGTTCACCGTGGTTGACCAAGCCACGGCTACTAAGCCCCCCCGCCACGACAAGGCGGGAACCCGTTCGGGGGGGAACCTAACCTAACCTAACCTAACCTAACCTAACCTAACCTAACCTTTTTTTTTTTTTTTTTTTACATGGGGAAATGCCTACGCATACCCGCCTCGCGGGGGCAAGGACGGGTTATGTCGGACTCGCACCGACTGAAACCCCATGGTGTTCCACCCTCGTCGCATATTGGCAGGGCCACGGGAACGCTTTCGCACACTTCCGCGGCCCCACCTGCGCCGGCCACCCCATGGCGGCCCCTCCTCGGGAGAGGACCACTCCTCCCCCATCTCCTTCTCCGGTAAGGCGCACCAGAACACATGGCGCGCCCTCCTCCTTGGCCTCCAATTTCATATGCGCAACAGACGCCCCCGTGTCCGATGCGCGAAGGCCATGGGGCCAGGAAAAACTAGCACTAAGAAGCACCAGCCTTCCCGACCCCAGCGGCGGATCTGGTCTATGGCTCCGCCGCCAACCAAGATTCGGCTGCGGAGGGTAGGGAGAGCGGCGCCTCGCAATACCGACACTCCTCTCCCCCCGCAGCCCCACCACCACCGCATCATTTAACGGTGCGGCCCCGTCTGAGTCGCGGAGGATAGGGCGAGTGGCGCATCGCCATACCAACACTCCTCTTCCTCCGCGACTCCACCTCGGCTGCAGCGGTAGAGGGTTGCGGACTCCCCTCTCACCACAGCCCCCCGACACACATCCGAAGTGGGCTTCCCAAGCCCACTCGGAGTGGCCACCTCGGGCCGGCCCTACACCTCGGGCCAGCCAAGGGGTTCCTCTTCGTTCACCGTGGTTGACCAAGCCACGGCTACTAAGCCCCCCCGCCACGACAAGGCGGGAACCCGTTCGGGGGGGAACCTAACCTAACCTAACCTAACCTAACCTAACCTAACCTAACCTAACCTAACCTTTTTTTTTTTTTTTTTTTTTTTACATGGGGAAATGCCTACGCATACCCGCCTCGCGGGGGCAAGGACGGGTTATGTCGGACTCGCACCGACTAAAACCCCATGGTGTTCCACCCTCGTCGCATATTGGCAGGGCCACGGGAACGCTTTCGCACACTTCCGCGGCCCCACCTGCGCTGGCCGCCCCATGGCGGCCCCTCCTCGGGAGAGGAACACTCCTCCCCTATCTCCTTCTCAGGTAAGGCGCACCAGAACACATGGTGCGCCCTCCTCCTCGGCCTCCAATTTCCAATGCGCAACGGACGCCCCCGTGTCCGTTGCGCGAAGGCCATGGGGCCAGGAAAAACTAGCACTCAGAAGCACTAGCCTTCCCGACCCCAGCGGCGGATCTGGTCTTTGGCTCCGCCGCCAACCAAGATTCGGCTGCGGAGGGTAGGGAGAGCGGCGCCTCGCAATACCGACACTCCTCTCCCCCCGCAGCCCCACCACCACCGCATCAATTGACGTTGCGGCCCCGTCTGAGTCGCGGAGGATAGGGCGAGTGGCGCATCGCCATACCAGCACTCCTCTTCCTCCGCGACTCCACCTCGGCTGCAGCGGTAGAGGGTGCGGACTCCCCTCTCACCGCAGCCCCCCGACACACATCCGAAGTGGGCTTCCCAAGCCCACTCGGAGTGGCCACCTCGGGCCGGCCCTACACCACGGGCCAGCCAAGGGGTTCCTCTTTGTTCACCGTGGTTGACCAAGCCACGGCTACTAAGCCCCCCCGCCACGACAAGGCGGGAACCCGTTCGGGGGGGAACCTAACCTAACCTAACCTAACCTTTTTTTTTTTTTTTTTTTTTACGGGGGGAAATCCTCATGGACTACCTCCGCCTGGGGAAAGGCGGAGGGGCGTGCCGGACTCATACCGGCTAAAACCACCCCGGTGTCTCCTCACACGTGCGCGTGGGGCCGCGGGAATCCAAATTCTTCCGCAGCCCCACACTAGTGCTGGCCCGGTCTGTCCAGGCCTCGTCTCCTGCACGGGGTAGTGAGGTGTTGAACTACCCCGTGTATCGCCTCAGGGGCGCGCGCCGACACCCGCGCGCGCCTCCGCCTCGGGTCCATCGAGTAGGGGTGGCGGGGGCTTCCCCAAGTCCCTCGCCCCTGGACCCATTTATGGGGGCCGGAAAAGGGCGTTGTCCGCCCTTCTCCTGCGCCCGGTGCGCCTTCTGCGGCCAGGGAAGGGAGTCGAGATCTCCCTTTCCCGTTCCGCAGTTTCCTTCTGCGACATCACGTCCTCGCAGAAGGACACCACTGCATCCCACGACTCTGCGCTACCGACCATCTTCCGCACTAAGGCCGGCAGCGACAGATCGCCTCCTACTTTATTTGTGAGGACACGGCGCTGCTCCTCCCAAGCTACACACTCGGCGAGCGTGTGTTGCGCCGTGTCCTCCCCGCAATGGACGCAGTGGTGGCACCGAGCGTCCGGCTCCCTGTCTATGCGGCGCAGGTACTTGCCGAAGCAGCCATGCCCCGACAGCACCTGCGTCACCCTAAACGACAGGGAGCCGTGCCTTCTCCCGAGCCAGTCGTCGAGTACTGGCCGGATCGCCTCGACGGTAGCGAGGCCGGCGGTAGGGCGCAGAAGCCTTTGCCGCCATTCCGCCACCAAGACCTGACGGAGCTCCTCTCGGCGCAGCGCGATCTGCCGCTGCACCGGTCTCGAGCCCCGTGCCCGCTCTTCCTCGCGCCATCGATATAATGACGCGAGTACTTTCGCCTCTAGGTCCCAGGGCGGGGATCCGGCCAGGACGCAAGCCGCCTCGTAGGAAATCGTGCGATACCCGCGGACGACTCTGACGGCCATCGCCCTCTGCGGTTTACGCAGAATGGCGAAAGTGCTGGCCGTCATGTCCATCGCCCACACAGGGGCCCCATACAGGGCCATGGACCGCACGATTCCCACGTACAACCGCCTACAGGCGGCGCTCGGGCCCCCCAAGTTGGGAAGCAACGTTGATAGCGCGCCCGCTGCACCCATCAGCTTGGGCGCCAGCCGCCGGAAGTGGGGTCCGAATTCCCATCGGCTGTCGAGCACCAATCCCAGATACTTCATGGTGGACTCGACAGCTATCCGGGCCCCGCTGACCACGATGTGTGAACCCGGCGGCGGCGCGCGTCGAGGGCCATGGAACACCATGGCCTCCGACTTACTTAGGGCCACCTCCAGGCCCAGGCGCCGGATGCGGTTCACCACTTGTGACACCGCAGCCGTGGCAACCAACGCTGCTTCCCTGTGCGAACTCCCCCGGGCAGTGACGAGCGTGTCATCCGCATAACACGTCAATTCGGCGCCCGACGGGAGTTCACCTCTCAGCACCCAGTCGTAGCCGATGTTCCACAGGAGCGGTCCCAAGACCGATCCCTGCGGAACACCGCACGACATGACGCGCCGACCAGCGCCGTCACGTCCCCAATAGGTAATGCATCTCTCCTCAAGGTAAGCCCCTATTATGCGGCGGAGGTAGGGAGGCACGCGATGGTAATTCAGTGCCTCCCGAATACAACTCCAGGGTAGGGTGTTGAAGGCGTTGGAGATGTCTAAAGACACCGCCAGCACCACCCCACCCCGGGATACTGTCTCCTCCGCCAGGGCCCTCACGCGCGTAATAGCGTCTATGGTGGAGCGCCCGCGACGAAAACCAAACTGGTTCTCGTCCAGGTCCGGCCCCTCTCTGCACAAGTGGCCGACGAGGCGATCTGCGATGATACGCTCAAGAAGTTTGCCCGCCTCGTCGAGCAGCACTATGGGCCGGTACGCGGACGGTGAGTCCGCGGGGCGCCCCTCCTTCCTGAGCAGGACCAGCCTCCCCTCCTTCCACACACTGGGAAACTGACCCTGCTCGAGACATGCCGTGAAGAGCCCTCTCAGCTGGGGCTCTAGCTCCTTCAGAGCCAGGACGAGAGCTCGACCAGGAACTCCGTCGGGTCCGGGCGCAGTGTTCTTAGCCCGGAGTCGCGACACGGCCACTCTCGTCTCTGCTTGCGTCACCTCGGGGACATCGGTGCTCTCCTCTTCTGGAGAGTCTGTGGCTGAGGGCGAAGCCATCGCCGGGGGAACGTGTCCCACTCGCTCAGGGAAGAGAGTCGATAACACCGACTCTAGCAACTGGGGTTGCATCCTTTGTGTTAGTGGAGGCGCCCAGGGACGCAACTTGCCCCGAATCCAACGGTAGGGGCGCCCCCACGGATCCCGATCTAGGGACCCCAGTAGCTCCTCCCTGGCACGCGACTTTGAGTCGCCGATGGCCAGCCGCAGAGTCTCCTTAGACGCGCGGTACACCTCATACAGCGCGTCCTCCTCGGCGGAATCCCGTCGACGCCGCCTCCGGTATCGGGTGTACCGGCGACGAGCCGCAACGCACGCTATGCGCAATTGCGCGATCTCGGCGGTCCACCAGTACACCTGGCGCCTTGCGGACCGTTGGTGGACACGGGGCATGGACGCGTCGCAGATCTGCGTCATCGCCCCGCGAAACCATAGCGCCACCGCTTCGACGTCGACGGGGCCGTCCGTCGTCGACTCCCGAATCCAGGACTGGACTAGGGCAGCTTCTTCGAGTAGTTCCCTGTCGATGCGCTTAAGCGCCCAACGCGGGCCGTCGTTAATCGGGGTTGTTGGATGGCGGCCGCTCGCAGTCTGGGCAGAGACGTCGAACCGGATATACCGATGGTCCGACAGCGTCTCCACCTCTGCGGCGACACGCCAGTCGCGGATTCGGCTGGCGACAGAGGGGCTAGCAAACGAGACGTCCACTATCGACCCACCCCGCTGCCGCACGCACGTGTATTCCGAACCCCGATTCAGGACGACCAGACCAGTCGTCACCGTCCACTCTTCTAACACCTCGCCCCGAGGGTCAGTGACCGGAGATCCCCACGCCGATGACTTGGCGTTGAGATCCCCGAGCACCAGAACGGGACGAGGGTGATAGCGGCCTACGACGGCGCCCAACTCGACAAGGAAACCCTCAAAGTCGGCGAGACTCTTGTTGGGGGAGAAATACGCCCCTACAATAACGATTCCGCCCGAGACCGCAGCAACCCAGCCGCGGCCCCGAGACGGGTCGGTCAGAGTCTCGCCAATAATGGCCACCAAACCGTCAGCGCATCCCAACCAGTTGTCACGGGCGGGAATGAAGTACGGTTCGGCGACCACAGCCACGTGAATCGACCACTCTGCCATGCTCTGGAGTAGGAGATCCTGAGCTCTGGCACAGTGGTTGATGTTGCCCTGGAGAAAATGGAGGGAATGGAATTGTGCCATTATTGACATTCCATCCCCTCGGCAACGGTCCTGGGCCGGGAGTCGGCCGCGGAGCTGCTAGCCTGCGAGGGCAGGGAGGTTAACCCGGCAGGCTTAGTGCTCCTCTTCTTTTCCTTTTTCTTTTTCTTGCTGGTAGGCGCCCCACAAGCTCCTCCGCCTACTCTGTGCTCCGCTGGCCTTCCCGCAGCAGAACAAAGGCTGCAGTTGAGCGCCGCGGAGCACAGGGCAGCCTTGTGGCCAGGCTGGCCGCAGCGATAACAGAGGTCACTACGGTCAACCTCGGCGGTGCACTTCGCCCGGACGTGCCCTTTTTCCAGGCACCGAAAGCACTGCAAAGCCCGGGGCTGTAAGAGCTTGGTCCTTGCCGCCACCCAGCCTACCAGCAATCTGCCGCTATCGGCGATCTTCTTCGCCGACGCTACAGGGCACCGAACCCAGACCGCGCCGAGTCCGGTGGCGTCGGTGCGTATTTCGCCAGCCCGCACCTTGTCCGGCGGACACTCTCCGCTTCTGGCAACGGCCGCCACCACCTCCTCTGAGGTCACGGAGTCGTCCAGGCCAGCAATCCGCACCTCTGCGGTTTTCATTGGCCTGGAGACCCGGACGTCCTCTGGGTTGAGGACCTCCCTCATCTTGGCGGCCAGTGCGTCCGCCTTTTCGGCACTGCCGCTCACAGTGCCAGCCACCTCGAACAGTCGTGCACCCGTGGCAGCCTGCCTGAGGGTGACGGACTGAAGGCCAAGATCAGATAATTTGATCTTGGCCTTGGCCTCGGCGATGACCGACTGGTACGTCACGCCACGCTCCACAGCTCCAGGCTGCAACGTTATTGTCACAGCGTTGGACCGCGGAACATGTACAGCCGGTCTCTTGCGACCGCCTTTGGCAGTCCGCTGTGCAGGTTTAGGAGCCGTCTTTGCGGTTCCACCTGGGGCACATGCAGCTGCTGCGGCCTTCTTGGCGGCTTTGCGGGCCTTCTTGCGGCCCACGACTTTCGCCCAGGTCTCACCCTTAGACCCGGCAGTCGTGGGCTGGTTGCTCGGAGGAGCTCCCTCCGCGGGCTTTTTATTACCCTCCGCGGGCTTCCCCTTTTGAGGCGCAAGTCTCGGCGGCTCCTCAGTCCTCCGCGTGTCAGCCGCTAAAGGCGGACGGAGGATTTCCACCGGGAGACGCCGAGAAATTGCCTCCAGCCGAGCGTTAACCATGCTCCCGCACTGGAGCATGCAGAGCCGGACAATGCGCTCGACCTCTTCGTCGGTACGAGGGCTTGCCGGTCGCAGTGCGGGAGTCGGGTCCACTACAGGTGCGGCATCGCTGGACGTGCGTTGCTGCTGCTGCTCGCTTAGCGCAGCAACTTGCCGCCGGAGGTCCTCCAAGTCATTTCTGAGGCGGCTGTTTTCCTCCTGTAACTTTGCGACCTCGTCAGAGGCCGTCCTGTTGAGGAGGATGCCAACCGCCTCCCTGATATCCGCGGCAGCCTCCTTTAAGCCACGGGTGAACGTGCCCTTCAGGCTGCCGGACTTGGTGGCAACCTTCAGGACTAAGTCCACCCCATCCAGAGCCAGCTGGCTTAAGGCCACCGCAGATGGCTCACCCCCTTCCGCCGCAAGAGCAGCTCGTCGCTCGCGAGCACGTCGGGCCATTTCCGACACTTCGTCGGCCGCGACGGCTTTGCGCTGCTCCCTCTTGGCGGCATTGAGCTCCGCCTTTGAGCTCCCCAGCGAGGCACAGCTTTCACCGCCATCGCCAGGGTCCTCCGTAGTGAACCCCATGTCACTATCTGCTTCACTAGCCGCCGAGGTATTGGAGCACACGAACCGTCCGTGCTTATCCCTCCGCGGCTGCGAAGCACTCGCCCCTCTAGATGCCTGCCGACCCCTCCCCGAAGTCGGCAACTTGGGGGCCGGCAGACCTTCCTCGTCTGACAATCGGCACACTGGACGTTTCCTAGCGGAAGACGTCCCACGCGATCGATTTCCGCCGCTTCCAGTATCAGATCCTGCCTGATTTTCTACCTCTACTGATTTTTTTAGATATTTTTCTCTTTCCATTTTTTATCCCACGAGTGTGGAGGAAATAACAGTCCATCCGAGCAGTGCCTCCTTTGCCCGGATAAGCCTATGCGTAACCCGTCAAGGGTGTCGGCCGGTACCCCGACGGGGGCAACGCTAACGACTGAACATTTACCCATCAGCCATGCAGCTCCTCACGGCGTGCCACGCTTGAGCTTCGGGTGATTTTTTAAAGAGGTTATCATCCTCGCGACTCCAGGCGGTTAAGCCAAGAGCCCTCGGCCCCTAAGGCGCCGCGAGACGTGATCCACGACACGCCAGAGGGATTCCGAGGTTCGAATGGTGGCAGAGTCGATACGGGTTCTTCCCATGCCTGCCCAGAGACCGGGTTAGGGAACACTGAGCCCATTCAGTTTCCTTTTTTACAGGGTGTGGTCCCTGAAAATCCCGCGATTACGGGTTGCCCGGCGTCGGCAAAAACCGAGTGCACCTGGCACCTCACCGCGCATGTCACATTCTCTGTTCCTCTCAAGGGAGAGGATACAGGAAGCAACTAATAGGCCCTCCGCTATGCAAAAAAGCCCTCACCCAGCCAGTTTTGGTCCGCGACGGTTTCCCGCTACCACCCATATCTGAGTGGCGTTCCCCTATCCGCCACCTGGGGACGCGCCCGATGGGAGCTCTGGCAACTCCACACGGGAACCTAACCTAACCTAACCTAACCTTTTTTTTTTTTTTTTTTTACATGGGGAAATGCCTACGCATACCCGCCTCGCGGGGGCAAGGACGGGTTATGTCGGACTCGCACCGACTAAAACCCCATGGTGTTCCACCCTCGTCGCATATTGGCAGGGCCACGGGAACGCTTTCGCACACTTCCGCGGCCCCACCTGCGCTGGCCGCCCCATGGCGGCCCCTCCTCGGGGGAGGAACACTCCTCCCCCATCTCCTTCTCAGGTAAGGCGCACCAGAACACATGGTGCGCCCTCCTTCTCGGCCTCCAATTTCTAATGCGCAACGGACGCCCCCGTGTCCGATGCGCGAAGGCCATGGGGCCAGGAAAAACTAGCACTCAGAAGCACCGGCCTTCCTGGCCCCAGCGGCGGATCTGGTCTCGGGCTCCGCCGCCAACCAAGTTTCGGCCGCGGAGGGTAGGGAGAGCGGCGCCTCGCAATACCGACACTCCTCTCCCCCCGCGGCCCCACCACGACCGCATCAACGGTGCGGCCCCGTTTGAGTCGCGGAGGATAGGGCGAGTGGCGCATCGCCATACCAACACTCCTCTTCCTCCGCGACTCCACCTCGGCTGCAGCGGTAGAGGGTGCGGACTCCCCTCTATCCGCAGCCCCCCGACACACATCCGAAGTGGGCTTCCCAAGCCCACTCGGAGTGGCCACCTCGGGCCGGCCCTACACCACGGGCCAGCCAAGGGGTTCCTCTTTGTTCACCGTGGGTGACCAAGCCACGGCTACTAAGCCCCCCCGCCACGACAAGGCGGGAACCCGTTCGGGGGGGAACCTAACCTAACCTAACCTAACCTAACCTAACCTAACCTAACCTAACCTAACCTTTTTTTTTTTTTTTTTACATGGGGAAATGCCTACGCATACCCGCCTCGCGGGGGCAAGGACGGGTTATGTCGGACTCGCACCGACTAAAACCCCATGGTGTTCCACCCTCGTCGCATATTGGCAGGGCCACGGGAACGCTTTCGCACACTTCCGCGGCCCCACCTGCGCTGGCCGCCCCATGGCGGCCCCTCCTCGGGAGAGGAACACTCCTCCCCCATCTCCTTCTCAGGTAAGGCGCACCAGAACACATGGTGCGCCCTCCTCCTCGGCCTCCAATTTCTAATGCGCAACGGACGCCCCCATGTCCGATGCGCGAAGGCCATGGGGCCAGGAAAAACGCACTCAGAAGCACCAGCCTTCCTGGCCCCAGCGGCGGATCTGGTCTCGGGCTCCGCCGCCAACCAAGTTTCGGCCGCGGAGGGTAGGGAGAGCGGCGCCTCGCAATACCGACACTCCTCTCCCCCCGCGGCCCCACCAACACCGCATCAGCGGTGCGGCCCCGTTTGAGTCGCGGAGGATAGGGCGAGTGGCGCATCGCCATACCAACACTCCTCCTCCTCCGCGACTCCACCTCGGCTGCAGCGGTAGAGGGTGCGGACTCCCCTCTATCCGCAGCCCCCCGACACACATCCGAAGTGGGCTTCCCAAGCCCACTCGGAGTGGCCACCTCGGGCCGGCCCTACACCACGGGCCAGCCAAGGGGTTCCTCTTTGTTCACCGTGGGTGACCAAGCCACGGCTACTAAGCCCCCCCGCCACGACAAGGCGGGAACCCGTTCGGGGGGGAACCTAACCTAACCTAACCTAACCTAACCTAACCTTTTTTTTTTTTTTTTTTTCGTGGGGAAATCCTCATGGATACCTCCGGCTGCGGGGGCAACCGGAAGGTTATGCCGGACTCCTACCGGCTAAAACCCCACGGTGCCTCCTCCCACGTGCGCGTGGGGCCGCGGGAATCCAAATTCTTCCGCAGCCCCACACTAGTGCTGGCCCGGTCTGTCCGGGCCTCGTCTCCTGCACGGGGTAGCGAGGTGTTAAGCTACCCCCCTCCACAGCCTCCAACTCCACCTGCGTATCGGACCCCCCCGAGTCCGATACGCGGAGGCCATGGGGCCAGGAAAAACTAGCACTCAGAAGCACCAGCCTTCCTGACCCCAGCGACGGATCTGGTCTATGGCTCCGCCGCCAACCAAGATTCGGCTACGGAGGGTAGGGAGAGCGGCGCCTCGCAATACCGACACTCCTCTCCCCCCGCAGCCCCACCACCACCGCATCATTAAACGGTGCGGCCCCGTCTGAGTCGCGGAGGATAGGGCGAGTGGCGCATCGGCATACCA